TATGTAATGTTTACTGAGAGGCATTATGTACCTTCCATGCCATACTGTAAACTCTGGTTCATTTCAAGTACCGGGCCAACTTTTAACCAGCCAGAGCAACATGTACAATTGCGTATACAGACTATTTAAATAGATTTTTTGCTTGTTTTTGGCTTGAGTTCTGTAGAAATAATATAATGTATTGTAATATAATATATAATTTAATAGTTAGCAGATCAACCAGACAATATATTTGTTACAATTATTCCACAAACAAAAACACTTATATCCGATCTATTAGACAACTAGTGATTTAGCATATACGGTGTGGATAGTTCAGCGCTCGTTTTTTGTTTAGTTAGTCTTTAACAAATCTTGTATTTCTGAATTAGATCCTTATGTCAACAATGTCTTAACCAAAAATAATTTACGAAAAGTGCGAACATTTTCTTCATCTTCTGTTGCTAAAAACCCAACCATACATTATACAAGTTGAAATATAATTTTTAATCATAATTCGGATTGAAGATTGTGCCATTGATAAGCAATGGAAATATAATTTATTTTGACTTGTAGACTTGGTATTAACTCAATAAAGTATTAATATATGCATGAACATGCATAGAATATATTAGGCTTACAAGGAACATCTCAACCCAATGCTAGATGACGGTTCTGCAATATAGTTCTAAGTTTAATAATAAGCTTATTGTGAACTGCAAATTTCTAACTTTAGTGTATACAAAAAATGAAACCATGACTAGGTTAACAATATATTCTAGTTTAGGTCCAGTGGATTTAACGGTTCTGTCAATATTCCAGAAAGCTGTGATTTTCGATAACAATTTGACACATTAAACACAATTTTTTACTTTTTTCTAAAATACTTTTCTGTCAGTATATGCATTTTGAAGGAAAAAGTATAGACTAAACAAATACGTAAGGTAAAAGATTGTTGAATTATAGACCAAAACACGTTTGATTTCAAATAGAAGAAACCGAATGCTGCTCACTCTGGTTAGTCCGGGGTTAGGTGTATGTATGTATGTATCTATGTATCTATGAATGTGTACACTATACATTACATTATTATTCATCACTGAACTTCCAAAAGCTATAATTCTCCTACAGCAGGAGGAACTATATATCTACATTATTAGGCCTGTAATACAATTTACAAGAGTTACAACTGCCTGTTCACAACTGCCTAAAATACAATTTAATTAAGTTACATCTGCCTGAAATAGAATTTACTTGAGCAACAACTGCCTGTAATGCAATTTACTTGAGTTACAACTACCTGAAATACATTTTACTTGAGTTACAACTACCTGAAATACAATTTACTTGAGTTACAACTGCCTGTAATGCAATTTACTTGAGTTACAACTACCTGAAATACATTTTACTTGAGTTACAACTGTCTGTAATACAATTTACTAGAGTTACAACTACCTGAAATATAATTTACTTGAGTTACATCTGCCTGTAATACAATTTACTTGAGTTACAACTGCCTGAAATACAATTTACTAGAGTTACAACTTCCTGTAATACAGTTTACTTGAGTTACAAGTTTCTTTATGTATTAACCGAGTAAAAATAGTGTTCCAAATAATAAAAAAAAATCGTATGTGTACAACTGTAAATTTTAGATTTTTACAATTAATCAAAGTTAAAAATGACTTAAATTATCCGAAAGTATTTTAGTTCTTAAAGGGAGTGTTCGCGAAAAATGAAAGGGGGACATAGGCTTACGGCAAAAAATAATCGCTTTTGATCTTACTTCTATCTGTTGCGTCTTTAAGGAGAAAATTGTTAAAAACGTAGCGTCCTACAAATTCAGAAAGTTGCAACATACGACTCGTTTCGTAACATAATCAATTTGATTTCATACAAATCATTCAGATATTACAACCTAAAGTCATCGATTATTTAACCTAAAGTCATCGATTATTTTTCGATGCATTAGTATATAGTTAATATTTCATAATATTTGTTATTTGTTTTATATATAGTGCACTTAAAACGACTTTTCCGCTAGGTGTCTCTGCCACGTGTCATAATTCAAAGCATCGAGAGCTGAGACGTCTGGCGGCCGACTATTTCAGGGTTTTAAATTCATTGTGTACAAAACAAATATTAAATATTAACTGTATTCGAATGTGTCGAAAAATAATCGATGACTAGGTTGTAATATCCAAATGATTTGTTTAAAATTAAAATGATTTTTTTACGATCCGAGTCGTATATTGCAGCTTTCTGAATTTGTATGGACGCTATGTTCTTCAGTAAAAGTCGTTTTTAACAATTTTCTCCTTATAGACGCAACAGATAGAAGTAAGATTAGAAGCGTTTAAAAGCGATTATTTTTCGCCGTAAGCATATACCCCTTTCATTTTTCGTGAACACTCCCTTTAAATACCAAACTAGATATGTATTAGCTTGTATCAAAGTTAAGTTTACTCGTTTGAGAAGATATTAGTTGTAGTTGTATTGTAACACTTTGGCATTTAGGTTTTAATTAGTTATTGGATTGTTGCCATGTGAATAATTAGATTAAAATATACTTTCTATCTCATAATTCTACCCTTCTAGTTCTCCTTATTTCATAAAACTGTGGAATAGGAAGACGAGACCGTAAGTAATCCTAAGCGTTTTAATGTTTTAATGATCTCACTGCTCAAAATACATATGATATTCATCCATATTCTACTAAATATAGCAATCTATCCTATCCTTCTATTTCTCCGTATTCTCCTCATTATAGTAATCTATCCTTCCATTTCTTCGTATTCTACTGAATATTGTAATCTATCCTTCTATTTCTCCGTATTCTTCTCATTAGTAATATATCCTTCTTTTTCTCCGTATTCTCCTCATTATAGTAATCTATCCTTCCATTTATTCGTATTCTACTGAACATTGTAATCTATCCTTCTATTTCTCCGTATTCTTCTCATTAGTAATATATCCTTCTATTTCTCCGTATTCTCCTCATTATAGTAATCTATCCATCCATTTCTTCGTATTCTACTGAATATTGTAATCTATCCTTCTATTTCTCCGTATTCTTCTCATTAGTAATATATCCTTCTATTTCTCCGTATTCTCCTCATTATGGTAATCTATCCTTCCATTTCTTCGTATTCTACCGAATAGTGTAATCTATCCGTCTATTTCTCCGTATTCTACTGAATATTGTGTAATCTATCCTTCTATTTCTCCGTATTCTACTGAATATTGTAATCTATCCTTCTATTTCTCCATATTCTACTAAATACAGTCCTCGTCGAAATAACCCGGAATAATTTAAATTGATTGATAACTTCAAAGTCGTCCTTAACATCAAAAAAGCTTGCGGCTTTAATGGTGGGCAATCTGATTTTAGAAATATTGTTTTATGAAACAATAATCACAAAACAGCTCTCTAATCCTGTTATTTCCAAAATGTGGTCTGCCATTTTTTATATCAAAATTACCAGAGATAATAAGAATTTTTGTTTAAATTTCAATTAATTAACTAAAATGTCTCATGCTAAACAAAATCGTTCATATCTAGAAGAGGACTGTATAGTAATATATACTTCGTAAGTAAGGTCAAACCCTGCTGCCCCCTCCTACATTTTACAGACAGTTTTAGAAATTAAGTATGAAGTAATGGGAATTGAAGCCATTTATTTAAATTGAGATATCAGAACGGGAGCAATCTGTGAGAAATAAAAGTAATGGAAAAAGAGAAACACGTGCAGCCAAACAAAAATATGATGACAAATATAAGAAAGTAATTATTTTGTAATAAAAGAAGAAATTGTGTAAGGAAGCAAGTAATCTCGTTAAGTTTGGAAATTGATAGTTTTCCCCTTTTTTATACATTCTGAAGAGAAACCCATGCTAGCAAAGTTCTATTTTTTTCATCATGCAAAAGAATTAGTTGTTCAATACATTATTGTGTCGTGCAGTGTATGAAGCTCGTCAGAAGAAATCTATTAATTAAGGAACCGTTGACATAATTTCGAGGGGCTATGTTTGTTTATAATAGCATGTGGGATTCACAACGGCACCCTTAAAGCGTTGTCTGTTCAATAATGCAGTTTCTATTTGAAAATTGAATATTTTTAATTGTAGTTTCTTTATTTCTTTCCTCGTATTATACATAATCAACAACTGTCCCACAGACTGTATGGGCAAGGTTTCCTCTTAGAATCAAACAACCTTAAGCTTGTTTTGATCAGCTTTCCTAAAAACACCCTCAAATGCCACTTTAAATTTGAGATGTAAAAACTCTTTATAAGAGATTTTTTTTGTCCCCAGGACATGATCGGGTTGTTACGATCAAATCTCGGAATTTTTCTATTGCGTAAGTTTGGTATTGTCTGGGTTTATATTGATCTACCAGGGGTTGTAATCTGACAGCACATTCATCCATCCACGGTTCATCATACTGAGAAGAGGGTTGACAAGATTCCAGCTGCCTAAGGGCTTCTAAAGCCTGAGAATCGTTTGTAAGCCTGGATTGGATACCCATAGACTCTCCCTGCTTGTCCACCATTCCTCTCTTAATCATCATTCACTTGGATCAATCCACTTAAAGCTTTAAAGCTTCTTTCTTGTTGAGTAGAAAGCACGCACCCTTTCGCTGCGAGAGTTGTTGACAGTCGCCCCTCTGTCCTCCTACATCCGTCAGGTGGTCATAACTGCTTATCCAGATGTCGGCTTCAGATGTTTTAGGAACCACAGGTTTGTGTGGAATACGGGAATCGTACCCGTAAACACTAGTCTGGAGACCAATCCAGTTACTGGTTGTGGACAAGTGTGCTTAACTTCAGTGATCACTCTCCACCCCAACCCACACACTCTCCACCCCAATCCACTAGATGTAAAAACTCTGTATTTGATCTTATCAAACATTTTATTGCAAATATGTATGATGCTTAGATAAAAGACTAGTTTGTTCTGTAATCTTTACGAGCAAATAAACTCTCCAATTTACTACAAACACTATTTAAAAAATAATTAGATCACATAAAAAAAAGTTTTAATTCATTCAATAAACTATTTGATAAATGTCCGCACAACTTTAAAACATAATACATAATACATATAGATTTAATCATTATTAAAATAGCGCAATAGATTAAATAACTTTTTAGTGTTCACTGAAAAACGTTGCATGACTACTTTCAATAAGGTCTTTATGAGAAAACCCAGTCTGAAAAAAAACACCTAGAAATTTAAATCTGAAAATGGCTATGTTGCTACTTTTTGGCAATAGGCGACAAATATAACAATGTATAAATCCATTATCAACTGTCTGAATGTTCAAAGAGTAAGTTGTTAAGATAAATATTATATCCAATTGTGTCTATTTTAAAAAGGTCTGTGTGTTCTGATCCCCTGAAGGGTGTCCAGAAATAGAAACCTCTGGAATCCAGATGTTAAGGTTTAAGAACGTGCCGTGGTCTGTTTATTCTCCCTTTCCAGGTGGAAGATAAACTAGTGGACGGTAGTCAGGAACCCACATCTTGGAGTGAATATACTCCTGCAAGAATAACAAATCAAGAATATTCTTATCAAACTTAAAATTCAATGTTCAGATCGTAAAGAGCTGTTCAGACAATTACAATATTACAAAATAAACATGCCTAGAAATTTTTTTTGCAATTTTTTTTAATTAATTAAAAAAATTAGATTCTCATAATTCAATAATTTGTATTCTTTCCTTGAGTCCATCTAACCCACCCTCATTGTATGCGTCAAACATTAATTTGTTGCCAGCCTAAAACAGAAAAAGATTAGAATTCGTGAACAGGTCTTTAATATATTTAAACCCAATTACCTTGATGCCGTCATTAATGGCCTGCTCGAAAACTCTGGCCGCTAGGTGGCAGGAAATATCTCTGATATCAGCTGTTTCTGGGAAAGTGGCGCGGCGTGCTAAGTCCTCCTCTTCGATTAACTCGACTAGAGCCTTGAGAATGTAAACGAGTTAAAAACTTGAGTTCTAGCATTTTGTGGCAAACAGTTAAACTAGATTGATTAAAAAAATCTTATATTTATTCTACTACAGAGTAGTACAAGATAAGAAAAATTAATAATTACAATTAACTTTGTGAGTAGGTTGTTTTTATTGGCATAGATTTCGTGATATACTTTGTTTGTAAATTTGTTCCTTTTTAAATACCCCGAGTCCCGACCTCTTTTAATTATATCAAATATTCATAACGCTGCCAGATCAACGCATTGGAAAAACAAACCTCGCATTATCGGGTATCCCTCAAAAATTGGATAAAAAAGTTTCTCTACAAATATTCACCTCAGCAGCTCTGTTAATCATAGCATTGGATACAACACCAGTTTGTCCCAGAGCAGCTCCCAGTGCCAGACCAGGGAAGATATACCTAGTGGGTTAAAAATATAAAATATAGCGTTTTCATATCGTTCAGATTTGAACTATTTTGTTTGGTTAAAATCAAACTAACTTCATCATTCCTCAGGTAATTTTGAAAATAGGACAATTTTGGGATTATTTTATGATTTTAACTCGCGTAAAATAAATCAAAATAATTTTTTTTTTGTAGAGAATTTCAATTAGACTCAATTTTTAATATATAAGTATTAATCTTTATATTTCAAAGATCGAAGAATATAATGAACAAATCAAAAAGTCCAAAATGAAAAAAATAAGAAATACATTTGTCTTAAGAGCAATGACTGATTTTGTATCAGTTTTTTTGCATTCAGACAAACCACTGAAAAAATCATGCTAGTCCATGCATTTTTAAACAAAAGTTTTTCATGCAAAAATAATCAGAATAGTTAATGAAAAATATAATACATCTTATATGTACATATGTACATATGTATTCGTAGGTTTGTTTCTGAAAATAATTTTGCAGATAAAAATGCAGACCTAAAAACTTATTTCTTAAAAGAGGGTCGCGAAGTTCCCATGAAGCTAGAAAACTAGTTTTCTGTTTTATCGAAGCATTGCTACAATGAAGGAAGAAAACCTAACATCAGAAGTCCCACAGGAATGCGTCTATTCTGTGTACTTCATTTGTAGGATCTGCAGTAGTAAATTAGACAGGTTTATGTTCAGCTTTCATTATGTTTTATTAGTGCGTAGGAGCAGTGCTTAGGATCCTTTTAATTTTGATGCGGATCCGGATCCGCATTGGAAAAAATGGATCCGGATCCAGGTCATTTCTTTAAGATTTGATGATTTTTTAACAAAAAATAATTTTCAAATTTTTTGTTTTATTTTTTTTCTCGCTTATTTTCATCCTAAAACTTGATAAACCATTCAGAAATGAGGAAATTTTTATAATCTCTCTTTTTTTCAAAAGTTCAGATTTAGGTTTTAGGAGTAAAAAAGTTTTTTTTTCTTCAGTTTTTGATTGATATTTTACTCCTTGGATCCTGATCCGTGGATTCGCATATTTTTGCGGATCCGGATCCGGATCCAGGAAGCCAAAATCTTGCGGATCCTGATCCTAAGCAATGCTTTGGAGTATTCGGTACAAGATATAATTACTTTTTCATAATCCATATACAATATTAAAAACAAATAATCTAAAAACTTACTTTTGTGTTAAAGGCTAAATTTTATTTTATAAATTGTGTTAAAACTAAGTTCCAACGCAATCTATTGCTTTTTGCTATTACAAAGACATCTACCACTGTTATGAAAATATTAGGTAGGGTGGGGGAAACACCTTAATATCCTGAAGGCAAAACTATTCACACTTTGCTTTGGAAACAAAACTCGATATTCACAATGTAAACTTATAAATTGAAGGATTTCAGTTTTAATCCTTAGAAATACTGTAAATCCACCAGAATGGGATAGAAACAGTCTGAGCGCTTAAACCACAGATATGTGATACAAAAGTTAAGCCCTCTGTTGTTTCTCAATAATCATTGGAGGTTTTGATTAAAAATAAAGAATGTTTAATGAAACGAATGAAAGGTTGTTCACATAAATTGTAAATTTCGAGAAGAAGAATATAAATATGTCAACGGGAAATCATTGAAAATTTATAAGTCCAGAGCTTAACTGACAACAAAATTAGATTGAACATTGAAAATATTTTTTTTTTTTTTCGGGGGGGGGGGAAGGGAGAACATAAAAAAAACAAAAGGATAATAATATTTGATTTGGATTTATCCCCTTGAAGGAACTGTGAGTGTAGACGGTATCAATTCAAAGAGTTGCATGTCCGGTTAACAATGGTACCCTTTAATCCACTTCAATCCTTTCATCGTGAGAAATATTTCTTCTTTATCTAAAGACATGTTAAATTCAGACAATTTCCTTCATTGTCTCAGAAGCATACATCCGTGAGTCGCTTTAAAAGAAAAACCAAAATTGAAAATAATCAGAATTTAGTTAGAAAAATATGGATATCTTATTCATTCTTGATCAGACAATGGTTTAAAGGGTACCGTGGTAAATCGGTCATGCCACTCTTTAAATGCAGTGTAAATTCAAACTATGTCTTTAATAATGATTAATACAATCAATTCTTCAATGTTCAGATTTCAGACGTGAGCTCCCGTTCATTTAAATCCAATGAATTAACTCAGTTTTGACTCTAAGCGTTTACATTTTTAATTATTACATAAATAAAGAACTCATGATGTAAAGTATATAACCCCGGGACGGAGAAAGCGTTAACTTAACACTGAAAGAAGGTTCAGGGATGGATATATTCTACAGAGCACATCGATCTATATTTACTCTACCTGTTGTTACATTGGGAGGATGCGATGATAGAACCTGGGATCAATTCTGGTTCATGGGGTAAACCCGTTCTAGATAGAGAGGATGAAAATACAACCCGGATATACAGTTAAATAATCCAATCCTGGAATCTTATATATAGAACCAATCCAAACATCGAGATAAGCGTTTAAGTAAAAAAAAAGTCAGATAGAAATTAAAAAAAAACATGCAAAAAAGCAAAGAAAAAAATATTTTTAATAAATACATGCTTGGTAAAGAAAAATTTAATGAAGTATGTAATATCTAGATAAAAGCAGCTGTAACATGTTCACAGCAACTAGACTAAGATTACATATTTTTTCGAGCTCAAAATGCTTTTAATTGACTTTGTCCTGAAGTTATCTGGAGATTACATCAAAAATATCAAAAAGAGTCTACTAGACCTGTTATTACACTGAGAGGAGGCGACAACACTTCCCTCTATGGTAACATCATCAAATGGAGATCCACTAGCAAAGATTGCCCGACCACCTTCACAAATAAACTTATGTAAACTGAGCTGAAAACTTTAGAATGGGATATCCTTAATACCGATCTGTTAATTAATCTGGAGATTAATAACAAGAGGAGAACAAGCAATATTTAATCTGGAGATTAAAAAAAGAGGAGATCAACCATTGATCTCGATATCCACCATTCTAAAGTTTTCAGCTCAGTATTCATAACAGAATCATATCTCAAGAACTGGATAGGGTCAACCCAGACCAAATCTGGAACTAGTCTAAAAACCTAAAAAAATAATTAAAAAACAACTCAAGTAATTCCCCATCACTAATCATAACAGATCGTTGAAAACTGCAGTTTAAGGTTAAGGGTTAAATTAACAAAAACTGTAAAATAGAAGTCGAATAGACGAATCGATGAATCACAAAAACATATTTTTCATACTTGGATTAATTTTTTTTTTCTTCCCAAGTATGAAAATATATGAGAAATTACAAAATGTCGAATAATACAAAACGTCAAACGTAACGAAATGTCGAAATTTGTTCCCCTCTAAAATATGATCAATTAAAACCAGTCATGACCAGACAATATTCGTCATTTTGTAACTAAAAAGGAAATAGACCGTTAAATTCCGTACAGTCGTATTTAAAGTTAATTACCTGTACATCTTTGGGCCTGCTCTGCTGTACATTCAGACCTAGAAAAATAATTTCAATATATGAGGATAAATCTTAGGTTTTAGTGTCTTTTACTAACCAGCGGGGTTTCGTACTATGTATAGACTTCATTTTAAGCCCTAGAAACACGGCCTTTTAGCTAATATAATTACTTTTTTTCTTGCATCTGTTCAATGTGGAAAAAATGGGTAGCAAAAACAGCAACAATGTTCCTTCTGTTTTCATTCCAATGCTACGTTTAAAACCAAAAAATTGGTCCATTTAAAATATTTATTCAGGCACTATAGGATATGTTCCTGATATCCCTGTAAATATAGGATATGTTCCTGATATCCCTGTAAGTATAGGAAATGTTCCTGATATCCTGTAAGTATAGGATATGTTCCTGATATCCCTGTAAGTATAGGATGTTCTTTTTCCTGTAAGTATAGGATATGTTCCTGATATCCCTGTAAGTATAGGATATGTTCCTGATATCCCTGTAAGTATAGGAAATGTTCTTTATATCCCTGTAAGTATAGGATATGTTCCTGATATCACTGTAAGTATAGGATATGTTCCTGATATCCCTGTAAGTATAGGATATGTTCCTGATATCCCTGTAAGTATAGGATATGTTCCTGATATCCTGTAAGTATAGGAAATGTTCCTGATATCCTGAAAGTAAAGGATATGTTCCTGATATCACTGTAAGTATAGGAAATGTTCCTGATATCCCTGTAAGTATAGGATATGTTCCTGATATCCCTGTAAGTATAGGATATGTTCCTAATATCCTGTAAGTATAGGATATGTTCCTGATATCCCTGTAAGTATAGGAAATGTTCCTGATATCCCTGTAAGTATAGGATATGTTCCTGATATCCCTGTAAGTATAGGATATGTTCCTAATATCCTGTAAGTATAGGATATGTTCCTGATATCCCTATAAGTATAGGATATGTTCCTGATATCACTGTAAGTATAGGATATGTTCCTGATATCCCTGTAAGTATAGGAAATGAGATAGAAGAAGCTAATGGGTATAATTATACCAGCTCTATATAAATACGGTCTTGTGTCCACGGATAATAGGAAGAAGGAAAAGAAATGGAAGGAAGAATTTATCATCGGAATCATTAACAATATTGGTCGGGATAGTGCTTTAGGAGTTATATAAAGAGGAGGGGATGCTGTCATAATCCAAGAATTAATAAGGGATAACATTAGCAGTACTTAGTGATCCGGATCCGTAACATGTTGGCTTCCTGGATTAGGATCCGCAAAAATATGCGGATTCACGGATCCGAATTCAAGGGAAAAATATCAACCAAAAAAAATGCATTTTTTTGCTCTCTAATCCAATCTGAACCGTTAAAAAAAGAGATATAATAAGATTTTCATTTCTCTGATGTTCCATCCATTTTTAGCATAAATATAAGCAATAAAGAAGAAAAAAAATTGATAATTCTGCTTTTATTAAAAAATCACTAAAACTTAAAGAAATCTTCAATGTTCATGACCCAGATCCTTTTTTTTCAGGACGCATGCAGGATCCAGATCCAGGTAAAAATAAAAGCACTGCGAAACCAAAACCAAATTGTATTGGCCTGAAATCTTCAAATTAAAACCTGATAAAAGATTTGAACTTTTAGGATTTGAGCCTGGAATAATTTATTACTCAGCTCTACTGCGGAAATCCAGGTCTCAGAAAGTTTCCTTTAAATAGATGGAATTGTGGGGGAGGGTCAAGAATTCAGTTTGACAATACCTGGATAGAAGGACAGAGGGGATTTCCCCCAAACATCAAAAATTCTTTATTTTTTGAGAAGAAATTAAACAATTTTTAATAGCAAGTATTGACAGGCATTTCTTTTTTCTTTCTTGCTTAGGATATGGTCTTCTCTTTTTATCTGCATGAGTTTAAACGTTGATCAAGAAATGTTATTTGTTCTTTCGACTATAAAATATATTCCCATGTGGTGAGGGATCTGTATTCAAGATTTATTCCTGTCCTCTCTTACATTCAATCCTATTCAATAGCTTATTCTTAACTATTAATTCACAAAATAGCAAATAAATTCAGACAAAAAAGCGGATAAAAACACCACTTTAAGTGATTCAAATTTTGGGATAAAATTATCTTTTAATTAATAAAGCGAAACATAATTGCCTAATTTCAATACTTGTTCAAAATTTCTTTTCTTAAAAATATTAGAAACATTATCGAGTCGAAGTTGACTGAATGTCTGATTTCAATACCTGGACCTAGGGCCGTCTGATAGTTTAAATTTCAATACCTGGACCTAGGGCCGTCTGATAGTTTAAATTTCAATACCTAGACCTAGGGCCGTCTGATAGTTTAAAATTCAATAATTTGATGTCAGATTCTAATTTAAATACTTCGATGTCTAATTTCAATACCTGAATGTCTAGATGAAATAATGCAGTGTTAAATTGAGTCGGCTTGTATAATTGTCTAAATGTCTAGTTCAATACCTGAATGTAGGGTTTACTAATGTCTTATTGTCTAATTTAGTTCAATACCTAAATGTCGGGTTTACTAATGTCTTATTGTCTCGATGTAGTTCAATACCTGAATGTCGGGTTAACTAATGTCTTATCGTCTAGTGTAGTTCAATACCTAAATGTCGGGTTTACTAATGTCTTATTGTCTAATGTAGTTCCAATACCTGAATGTCGGATTTACGAATGTCTTATTGTCTAGTGTAGTTAAATACCTGAATGTCGGGTTTACGAATGTCTTATTGTCTAGTGTAGTTCAATACCTGAATGTCGGGTTTACTAATGTCTAATTGTCTAATTTAGTTTAATACCTAAATGTCGGATTTACTAATGTCTTATTGTCTCGATGTAGTTCAATACCTGAATGTCGAGTTAACTAATTTCTTATTGTCTAGTGTAGTTCAATACCTGAATGTCGGGTTTACTAATGTCTTATTGTCTAATTTAGTTCAATACCTAAATGTCGGGTTTACGAATGTCTTATCGTCTAGTGTAGTTCAATACCTAAATGTCGGGTTTACTAATGTCTTATTGTCTAATGTAGTTCCAATACCTGAATGTCGGATTTAACAATACCTGAATGTCGGGTTTACTAATGTCTGGCGTAGTTCAATAAATGGATGTAGGCTTGTTTGATAGTCCAGTTTTCTATCTGGATGTCAGGTTGTCTTGTCAGGTTGTCTAAATGTCTAGTTTTCTACCTGGATGTTGGGTTGGAAAGAGGAAAGATGACCGGAGGAGAAGGACAATTCTCTGCCATAGTTGTCAGAACTTCGTCAGTGAAGAGACCACCACAACCAGACAAGCCTAGACAGACAGGGAACAAATAAATCAAGATAGGACAGAGGGGGAACAAAATAAATATTATAATAATAATAAAGTCGTTTCTAAAATGAGAAATAAAATTTTGGTAAAATTTTCCACTTATTTAGTCCTTTAATCTGAATTATAAGTTGCAAAATCTTATTCGTTTTGCATTTAAGTATTTAGTTTTCTATATGGTTCATTTCTTAGTGAAAAATTTGAGCCAAATCCCTTTGTTAAAGGACATTTTAAACAGTTGATAAGACAAGATGGCTGAGATTTTTGCTCCAGTCGATCAGAAATTTGTTCTCAAAGCAAAAAAAGAAATATAAAACATTAAGAGCACAATCCCTTTAAACTTGAAAAAAAAGAATTATAAAACTTTAAGAGCACAATCCCTTTAAACTTGAAAAAAAAGCAATAAGAGATGAGTAGGTATGTTTTTGTTCCTCTACAAATTTCTGCTCGAGACAGAGTGTGTGAGAGGGGAGGGGAAAGACGAAAAGGGGGGGGGGGGAAAGACAAAGGAGGGGGGGAGGCGAAGAAAATCTAATATGTCTACACCTGCCAACAGTTTATAGCTGGTGGTTTGTTTGTTTTAGGTTTATAATATATCCTAGACTCGAATACAATACCCTAATCAGGAAAAGGTAAAAAAGGTGGAATATCTTGATTTTATTTAAATATTTTCTCTTAAAAACTGTTCACCTGATTTACAATTTTAAAATTAGTTTTTTTAAATTCTGGGGGGGGGGAAACAGAAAAATTTGAGCTTTCATTTGGTTTTGGGAAAAAGTGAAGAGAAAAGGAAAAATGGGGAAGGGAAGGGGAAAGTAAAAAGGGAAGAGGAAAGGGAAAAGTGAAAAGAAAAGGGGGAAGAGGGTAGGGAAAAGGGGAAGAGGAAAGGGAAAAGCGGACGTGGAAAGGGAAAAGGGGAAGAGGAAAGGGAAAAGGGGAATAGGGAAGGAAAACAGGGGAAGAGGGACGGTAAAAGGGGGAAAAGGGGCAAAAGGGAAGGGAATAGGGGGAAAGGGGAAGGGGAAAGAGAAGAGAAAAGGGAGAAGAGGGAAGGAAAAAACCCATAAAGTTGACCTTTTTAGGGCACCAAAACGCTCTATTATTCTACTAAGGATTGAGTAAGGGGTATTCTTAAATCATACTTTTTAATGAAATTGTGCGCGGAGCGCGAAAAGTTTTTATAACGTTTTTCTATAATGCATTAAAACTATCGGGAAAAATTATTTGTGAAAAACTGTCCAGTTTTACGAGAAAGTTAGATTTGAAGAGGTAAAGAGCCTCGCTACAACCTTTTACTTCCCTAAATTCCCCTTTCCTTCCTTATCTGCAAACCTTCCATCAATTTTTTCCCTTCCTTACATTCCCCATACATTCTCCTTCTTCTTCCCTACCTTCCCTGTCCCTTTTGTAGTTCCCTAATCATATTTTTGTCTTTCCCTCTCAACCTTCCCGTTTTTACGCTTTCCCTCCCGATCAACCTTCCCATTCACTACTTTTCCCCTTCCCTACCTATCTCCTTCCCTTCCTGTCCACTTCCCTCTCTACCTTTCCTCTTTCCCCACCCATCCCTTTCTTCTGTTGTTACCCTTCCCCTTTTACTTTCCTTTTCTATCCCACTTTCCTTTTCTATCCCACTTTCCTTTTTTATCCCCTATTCCTTTTCTTTCCCCTTTTACATTCCTTTTTCCTTCCCTTTCCCTCCTGTTGGGTCTTTGATTTCTCAAAAAAGAATTTTATACACCCCTGAGATAAATATATGAAAAGATGACTTTTATAAGGAAGGTCTCACTAAATCTTGAAATAATTTTAGTTCCAGAAATATAAATAGATTAATTCTCAAAATCTTCCTTTTGTTTATTTCTGAAAGTTGTGTTTATAGTTTTTTCTTTCCACTGAAAATTGAAATTCATAAGTTTAAGTTGCTCCATGTTGAGAGCTTAAAACTCAGTTTAAAGTTTTAATCAACTTAATTTTCAAGAATAATTTTCTTCTCATATTTTTTTATGCTCTAGAAAATACATTTTCAACTTATTAGTTCTTGGTAAATTTAGTTGAACAAAATGAAGAATATATAAAAATACACTATCTCTAAACAATTTTTTTGTTTTCTTCTACTTAAAGTGAGTTTTAGAAATGACCCTTTGGACCTCCTAAAACACATGACAGTTCAATTTCAACCTTGTCTAATAAAAATTGATATAGTACTGTATTATTGGGACAGTTTTCTTTCCAGGATTAGGAATTCTTTCAGTTCCATACACAGTCCCTTTGTTACGCGAGCCATGCTGCGTGTAGAAAGTCTGCTTGTCACCCCTGTGTATTTCTGAGTTCCCCCTGAAGATCTGTACGGAATGTATTGTGAAAGAACTAGTTTAGGAACTGTTTACAGACCGACTGCGCAGACGCAAGATTTCTCGCGGAGTAGTAAATAATTTATATCAGTATATGTTTATTCGTTATGCAAGTATTAGCCGTGTTCAGAATTCTGGGATCACTGTGGTAACTATTTTATATATATTTATGCTTATCGGTTTGATTATAGTATGATTGATATTTATATACGTGTTTATTGGTTCCTAGCCACAGTTTTTTAATGCCTGAGTGAATTATTTAAAATTAAGTTAAATTCTAATATGACAATTTGGTTTTAGTTTCAATCAATTTTGAAACTTGAACAATATCATTTGCTGCACTGCAGACCTAAAATATTTGTCAGAAATAAAGAGATAGGACATAAAATTTACGACAGTTTTAGCTTTAATTAAAAACTCACCAATAAGAATATTAGGTTTCACAAGTTTGATTGTATCAACCAATCCCATTCCTTCAAGGGCAGGATCGTCAACGGCAAAGCTTGAGAGATCGTAGAACAGATCCTCCATCTCTGCCAGGTTAGATCTGTTCATGGAGTAAAGAATTAGAATATTAGATCTATAAATGGAGTAATAAATTAGAATATTAGATCTGCTAATGGAGTAAAGAATTAGTATAGATCTATACATGGAGTAAAGAATTAGAATATTAAATCTATATATGAAGTAAAGAATTAGAATAGATCTATACATGGAGTAATGAATTAAAATATTAGATCTACACATGGAGTTAAGAATTAGAATATTGGATCTGTTCATGGAGTAAAGAATTAGAATAGATCTATACATGGAGTAAAGAATTAGAATATTAGATCTATACATGGAGTAAAGAATTAGAATAGATCTAAACATGGAGTAAAGAATTAGAATATTAGATCTAAACATGAAGTAAAGGATTATAATATTAGATCTGTTCATGGAGTATAGAATTCGAATATTAGATCTGTTCGATGTTCATGGAGTAAAGAATTAGAATATTAAATCTATATATGAAGTAAAGAATTAGAATAGATCTATACATGGAGTAAGGAATTAGAATAGATCTATATATGAAGTAAAGAATTAGAATATTAGATCTAAACATGGAGTAAAGAATTGAAATATTAGATCTATACATGGCGCAATAAATTCGAATATTGGATCTGATAATGGAGGAATGAATTAGAATATTAGATCTGTTCATGGAGTAAAGAATTGAATAGATCTATACATGGAGTAAGGAATTAGAATATTAGATCTATACATGGAGTAAAGTATTAGAATATTAGATCTAAACATGGTGTAAAGAATAAGAATATTAGATCTGTTTATGGAGTAAAGAATTAGAATATTAGATCTATACATAAAGTAAAGAATTAGAATATAAAATCTAGACATGGAGTAAAGAATTAAAATATTAGATCTTTTAATGGAGTAGAATTAGAATATTATTAGATAATATTAGATCTATACTTGAAGTAGAGAATTATAATATTAGATCTATTCATGGAGTAATAAATCAGAATATTAATAAAGGAAGAGAAGGTGAGGAAGGATAAATCAATTACAAGAGAAGGTGAGGAGTAATGATCAAATACAAGAAAAGAAGGTTAGTAAGGATAGATCAATAAAAGAAGAGAAGGTGAGGAAAAATAGATCAAATATAAGAAGAGAAGGTTAGGAAAAATAGATCAAATATAAGAAGAGAAGGTGAGAAAGGATAGATCTAATACAAGAAGAGAAGGTTAGGAAGGATAGATCAATAAAAGAAGAGAAGGTGAGGAAAAATAGATCAAATATAAAAAGATAAGGTGAGGAAGGATGGATCAAATATAACAAGAGAAGGTTAGGAAGGATATATCATTTATAACAAGAGAAGGTTGGGAAGGATAGATCAAATATAAGAAGAGAAGGTTAGGAAGGATGGATCAAATATAACAAGAGCAGGTTAGGAAGGATAGCTCAAATATAAGAAGAGAAGGTAAGGAAGGATAGCTCAAATATAAGAAGAGAAGGTTAGGAAGAATAGATCTAATACAAGAAGAGAAGGTTAGGAAGGATAGATCTAATACAAGAAGAGAAGGTGAGGAAGGATAGATCAAATAAAAGAAGAGAGGGTTAGGAAGGATAGATCTAATACCAGAAGAGAAGGTTAGGAAGGATGGATCAAATATAAGAAGAGAAGGTGAGAAAAGATAGCTCAAATATAAGAAGAGAAGGTGAGAAAGGATAGATCTAATACCAGAAGAGAAGGTGAGGAAGGATAGATCTAATACAAGAAGAGAGGGTTAGCAGGATAAAAAACTTTAAGAAATAATATGAATAGAACTAAATATAATAAGCCCAGTGTATAATAGCAGTTCATATTTTACTGGAATAAATATCATCTTTTGTGTTGCGAAATTGTTTCTCGTAAGAAAATGATAAAGGACAAGCCTAGAGCAACAGTTTTTGCAGAGCCTTCATTTCTTCACATCAAACTGCTGTGCTTTAAATATATTTGGTAGCAGACTTATTCTTCAGAATAAAATAGAATATAAAATCTTCAGGAAGATTTCAAAATTTTAAAATTCAATAATTTTTTTTTTATTTTAACAAAATATAATTTATTAAAAAATTGCTTTATTATATTCTCAAATAGTTCTGTAATATCTATATATAAATTATTATTTTGGTGCAGGATTTAGTTTTCTTCATTATCATATCTTGGATTATATTCTCAAATAGTTCTGTAATATCTATATATAAATTATTATTTTGGCTTGTCTGTCTGTTTGTCTGTCTGTCTGTTTGTATCCAATAAACGTCGAAACGGCTGAACCGATCGGACCCAAATTTTTTGTGGGACATCACGTGACCCCAGGAAAGGTTTATGAATGATAAAAAAATGTGCTTTAAAGGTTTTTAATTTTGTAAAAAATTTAAATTCTTGAAAATCCGCGAATTTTTTTTTAAATCCGCAAAATTTTTTTCTTTGTTTGAAAATTTAAACAAAATGAACATATTCACAATTTATATAGAAGATGGGCGCAAAGCGCCCTAAAAGCCTAGTCTCTATATATTTCTGTAAACTTATTAATTCATTATTTTTAAAGAAAAGCTTTGAAATATTAAAATTATTTTTGAAGTAGAATCATCAAAGGTAACCTCTTCAATACAAAAATAAATGAGTTTAGAATTCAATTTTAAATATAAATATTAAAAATGACTGAAAATATTTTTTGTAATCCAAAAATTTTGTTGAAGTAATCTTTCACTAGTAATTTTCCCCAAAATTCCTTCTTTGTACAAGATAACAAAAACATAATTAAACTGAAGCGCGCTTAAAGTACTTAAAGAAAATCGTTTATTTCCAATTGATATTCTTCTAACATATTAATTCCAGAAGTGAAGTTTACATTTGCATTAGTAAAATGAAATATATAGTTAACGAGAGTCTACTTCTACTGATTGAAATTACCAAAATTCAATATAAACACATAATAATCAAAGCAGGCTTCGGATAAACAAATATTTAGATTACATAATGATTAAACTAAAATCAGTTTATTCAAACCCGAAATCTATAATGATCTTAATTTTTAGACAATTATATAAGCAAATGAAACAGGTTTAAAAATTTCAAAATTACAAAATTAAAAAATTTGGAAATAAAAAAAAGATGGTTATTCACTAACCTTGACTTGGATATAAGTCCTTTGTCGTCAATAATCCAGAATCTGTTCCCAGCTTCAGTTTTACTCAAACCATAGCTAGGAGTATAACAGAACATATATTAATTATACATAGAGAGATAATCAGAAAACAATGGAAGAAAAAGACGACATTATAGCAATGCTTAAGTGTATTTAAAGTTGTTACAAAGCAAATACTTTTACTAGACACTTATTAAATCTGTTTCACCTTCACAATTGCTCTCTAATGCTCATTGGACTTGTTAAAGTTTTTAAAAGTCGTCTTCCTATTTCAGAGTTTTCTGGTTATCACGAGAGAGAGAGAGAGAAAGAGAG